TTTGCATCTCTGCCTGTTCTTGGTTATGGTGCCTTTTCACCACCAGTTTCCTCTTTTCATCACAAATTAACAAAATATTGTCATTTATAGTCTGCAATTTCCTTCCGAATGTTGGCACGTCTTATATGGATCATGGGTGTGTATATTTGTTTTTATGGCTCAACTTGATGGAATGCAATGACCTAATGTTATATTAGTTTGTGTTTACGTTGACCCTGTCACAGGCAATTAATAGGATAGAATAGGATAGGGTAGGGTAAGGTAAGGTAGTGTAGGGTGGGATGGGATGGGATGGGATGGGACGGGATGGGACGGGATGGGGACAGGATGGGGACAGGATGAGGAATAGAATAGAAATTAACGGGGACTTATAATTCGGTCTCTGTCTGTGCATCTGTCCGGAGTAATATTTCAGAATCCTTTGGACCGATTCCGTTCATTCTTTGCATGTGCCTAGTACTTTATGTGGACATATGAACATGCAGTGGTTTAGCGATTCAATTCTAAATGGCCGACTGGCAGCCATCTTTTTTTTAGCTCCGCTGTCGACTTTGTCGAGCGGAGCTTATCATATGAGTGATTGTCCGTCTCCGTCTCCGTCGTCGTCGTCCGTGTCAATGTTTTACTTTTTCGACTTCTTCTTGAAAACTACAAGCCTGAATGCTTTGATACTTGGTGTATATGTACCTTGGGTAGACCTAGACCTCTCTTAGATTTGTTTATTTCGTGATGATATCTTCAATTCTCTAATTTTGGTGAATATTTTTGTCATTTTTGGTGGAAAGTGATATTTTCGACTTCTTGTTGAAAACCGCAAGTCCAATTGCTTTGATATTACATATATAGGTACTACATCTGGACCTCTCTCAGATTTGTTTATTTTGTAATGATATCTTTAATTCTCTAATTTTGGTGAATATTTTTGTCATTTTTGGTGAAAAGTGATATTTTCGACTTCTTGTCTTGTAATTGCTTTGATATTACATATATAGGTACTACATGTGGTTCTAACTCAGATTTGTTCATTTCATGATGATATCTTCAATTCTCTAATTTTGATGAATATTTTTGTAATTTTTGGTAAAAAGTTATATTCTCCACTGCTTGTTTAAATGTGGTATCTAGGACATGCATTGTCAGTTTTCATTCAAATTTAGCATATACTTTATACATGTTATGATACATGCCCATGACAATTTGTTTCAAAATCGGATCAAGGATGGCCGATTGACAGCCATCTGACTTTTTGGCCTTACTACTATATTTCCAAGATTTATGTACCATTTTCATTCGTATTT